ATTACTTCCTGATGATCGGCCATTTGAGGAACCCATTTTGGCGATACGAAGCTAGTGGCTTCAATACTCTAAAAATTGAGGATAAAAACAGAAAAACGCTGATGTAAGTGTAATATCTTACTTTAAGGCCACATTCGCTCAACCTGTTGATAAGGGCGACTTTGTCCTCGGCCGTAATTATTTGCTGAAACTCAAAATTTACTTGAAAAATGGCAAAAAATACTGACGTCAGTGAATTAAAAACGAAATCACCTTCTCATTTTGCAATCCATCACGAGCTCCTACTTCAACGACCTTGAACGGTTGTTTCTGGAAAGGAAATGAAGAATTTTTTTAAAATCAAATGGCAAAAAATCCAAAATTTACCTTGGTAGCTGCAGTGGCGAGTTTTCGACTAAAGTTCAGTGAAGGAAGCCGCATCCGGTAAGAAATGTATTGCAACTAATGAAAACAAATATTTCTAACTGGCGGCCTGGCGAAAAAAGCCGGTTCGGTCGGTGATCGCGCGCGGCACCCTAGAGAAATTAGCTTTTTGGTTTTTCTGTCTTCAAATGCAAAACCCTATTGAATTTTTCAAAATATTCTTATTCCCATTAAGAAACTAAAGAAGAATTCAATAACGGCTTTTTCTGAAAGAAGTGATAAATCTTAAAACAATTAAGAATGCTCTTATGTTCGTCGCGTCGCGGTGAAAAGTTGGTCGCAAAGCGGAGAGCCTCTTGGGACAAACGGTTCCTGGGCACTCTTTCCTAACTTGAACATAGCTACCAGAACTGTAGAGGCTTTAGATATAGAGGCTGAGGCCCTTATGAGTCTATAACTATAAAAACACCAAAGTTAGTCTTCCAAAATCGCTCGCTGGAACCCGAATTCTTGGGCCATTTTAAGTACTACCAGGACCAAGTGACACCAGAGTTTACTGGTTTGGCTAGGTATTTCTGAGTTTTTGGATATCCTTCTGCTTCCTTTTTATAGATAAAGACCTAAATCACTTCTATCCTTTGTAACATTTCCCCCACTGCCATGAGTTTTCTGAGTTCCTGATGTTAATGCGCTCCAGTCCAACTAGATGTGCAGGCAACCAAATGGGCAGCTACCGTATCTGCATAAAATTTCTGCAAAATCGCGATCGGCCTACTTTTTTTTGCCCAATATAGGATAGTAGTTTGTGATCTCCTATCCAAATGGAGTTTGTAGCAATGTCATTTCATCGTACAGATTTCAAAACATCTCCATGGGGGTCCCTGCAGCGGTTCTGGGGGGTCTTCTGAACTTCTCTAGGAAGTCCCTCTCTCTGGCTTTTTTTTTCTTTGTTTTTTGCATTGTTTTTTGTCGCTTGTTTTTTTTT